GGCTCCTATACATTCACTTAACATCTCCCAAAATCTCTCTCTCTCTCTCCTCTGCATTCCTCTCTTCTCCAGGTGCATACACGCTTATTAATGAAGTTATTGTTATATTATAATGTGTTGCAACATCAGCCATTTCCAAAGGTGTCATACCTCCCATAAATAAAGTAATAATACAGATACTTTTCACTTAATGACTGACTTCCATTCCTAAGAGTAAGTCAGTGAGTAAATTGGTCGTTAAGCGAGGAGCCACCCCTTACTGATATTTCAAGCAAACTGTACTGGTAGTGAGTTTGTGTCAACCATCTTTAGATATTGTTTTAATGTCACCTTTGCACCATTATAACAATTTTAGTATATTAGAAACAGAACTAGGCATCAATAACAATAAAAAGTAAAACACACATGCAGTACACTGGTTGGAGAGCTGGTTGTAAATCCAAGCGGTCGTTAAACAGGTAGGTTGCTAAGTGAGGAGTGCCTGTAATAATAATGATGATAATATCGACGTCCCTCTGGCATGACAGTGATGGAGTGAGTGATGGTGCAAGTGTTTCCTCTTTTGGGGTCATCCTACCAGGTGGGAGACAGCCAGTTTGTTGAAAAAGTCAAAATAATAATAATAATAATAATAATAATAATAATAATAATACATAATAATAATAATAATAACGATAATAATAATATTGGCAGTTTGGAGGGACACCTAAACTGTTGTATCTGAGCGCCTCTGCAAAGACAGTGATTATGTGAGTGACGGTGAAAGTGTTGAATGATGATAAAAGTTTCATTCTTTCTTTTTGGGTCAACTTGCTTCGGTGGGAAATGGCTGTGCTTAAAAAATATATATAATAATAATATAATCATGATAATAACAATAAAATTAATAATAAAGCAATGATAATAACAATAAAATTAATAATAAAACAATGATAATAATAATAATAATAATAATAATAATATGTAATAGTAACAGTGTGTGTTCAGATATTTGGGAAAGGACTTGTCAGCAGATGGGTCCATGAAAGATGAGTTGAGTCACAGAATTGATGAGAGGGAAACGATGAGTGGTGCAGTGAGTCTGTGGAGACAAAGAAGGCTATCCCTGGAAGCAAAGAGGGGAATGTATGAGAATATAGTGGTACCAACATTGTGTGAAGCATGGGTTTTAAACATTGTAGCAAAGGGGGTCATCTGAATGGTGACATCAGTGCATTGCCACCAAGACAGTGATTGAACAAGTGATGGTGAAAGTGTTTCCTCTCTGTGGTCAACCTACCTCAGTGAGAGACGTCAGTGTATTAACAAAAGCTGAAGAAAATATTAAATTTATATTAAATAATTCTACATGATGGATTGAAAGTGTTAAAAAGTGTTAAGAGTTATTGCGAATCTAACTCCAGATGTAGTTAATAATACAGCAAACATCTGATATATTGCACTAATAGAGGTGTCCCTTATATCAGAATAATGTTTAAAAAATAGTAATTAAACAGTTGATATAACACACTAACAGAGGTGTCCCTTATATCAGAATGTTAAGAAAATAATAATAAAGTGTACTTTAGTATAATGTACACTTAATATAGAACACAATTTATATTGCAATAATGAAAATAAATAAGTTAAAAGTACAATTTAACTAGTAGAATTTGCCCATAATTTTAAAAGTCAGCTATAGTGAGTGTTTATTTATTTTTATTTTATTAACACATCAGCTGATTCCCACCAAGGCAGGTTGGCCCGAAAAAGAAAAACTTTCATCATCATTCACTCCATCACTGTCTTGCCAGAGGGGTGCTTTACACTACAGTTTATAACAAAAAAAAGGCACAATACCATGACTGGAACGATACAGAAATTGCCTGCACATAGAAGAGAGGAACTTACGTGGTAAGCTCCTCTCTTCACTACAGTTTATAAAACTGCAACATTAACACCCCTCCTTCAGAGTGCAGACACTGTACTATTATATTACAAATACATCTAATATAACAACCATTAACCCTTTGACTGTTTTGGTCGTATATATACGTCTTACGAGCCAGTGTTTCAGACGTATATATACTCAATTCTAGCGGCTTCAAATCAAGCGGAAGAAAGCTGGTAGGCCCACATTGAGAGAATGGGTCTGTGTGGTCAGTGTGCACCACATAAAAAAAATCCTGCAGCACACAGTGCGTAATGAGAAAAAAAAAACTCTGATCATTTTTTTGGATTAAAACGCCGAATTTGAGGTGTATTTTCGTATAGTATTTATCGATGTATTTGCGTTTTCATGGTCTTAGGTGATAAAATGGAAAACATATTACAGAAATAGAGATGATTTTCATTACCTTGACGATGAAAACGACCTTGAAACTGAGCTCAAAGTAGCAGAAATGTTCGATTTTTACCAATGTTTAGGAGTAGACAAATCACACCACACGTCCAATACACGTCAACTGGGGAGTCTAATATTCTTTCACTAGTGCACTGATATTATTTATACCATTTTTACAATAATGCAGTAGTCTGCATAACAGTAAATTTTGTATTTTTTTGTATGAATAAAAAATAAAAATAGAAAGCAATAATAATATAAGAGGGGCCTAGAGATGTGACTAATGAACAGAGGATATGTTATTTTAGTGCCAAGAATGTCTACCTTGTTTATTCTAGACCCTATTTTGAAATTGGCATCTTTTTTAGTTAGCGTGAAATTGGCCAAATTGCCAATTTCTGACCACAATATTGGGTAGTCCAAATTGGTAAATGGGAGGTTTCTTGTACTCAGCTGATAGATAAAATGGAGTTCTAAAGAAATAGCTATGAGTTTGGTCAACTGGAACAACGGAATTGGCTGAAAATAGGGCTCAATCGGCGAAATCGCCGATACGCATATGTCGCCGAGACCGCTAACTTCGCGGGAGTGTAATTCCATGAGTTTTCGACCAAATTTCGAACTTTTGGTGTCATTACCATCAGGAAAAGATTCTCTATCATTTCATAAGAAAAAATAATTTTTTTTTTTCAAAAATTTAGCGACATAGAATGACAGTTTCAGAAAGGGGCCTGAAACAGCCAAAGGGTTAACACTTTCACTGTCCAGATCCCTGAAATTAACAGTGATCACAGTGGTGAAGAATTTTTTCCTTAAGGTAATAACAAAATATGAAACCTGATGGAAAACTTATGGAATTATACAGGTGTAAAGTTAGCAGTCTTGGCACAATTTATGCATCGGTTATTTTGCCAAATTTCAGTCCTATTTTAAGTCAATTACATTCCTCAATTTGACCAAATTCTTAGCTATTTTGCTAGTATGTCTTCCATTCTATTGATTGAGTACAAGAATTGTTAAAACTACCCTTATATAAAGTGGACAGAATTCAGAAACTTGGCTAATTTTAAGCCAAATTAAAAATATTTCAATTTAAAAACAGAATCTAAATTAAACATTACAAATACTGCTGGCACTAAAACATTTCTTTTGTGTAATAATAACTTCCCAGTTTCTACATTATCTATGTTACACTTGCCTTCCATTCTGAATACATCATCATCACAAAAAATCTAAGATTTACTGTTTTTTGAATAATAAAATATAACCAGCAATTGTTTGTCATGATTTACGGCATCCCAAAAATTGAACCAGACGGGTCTTACCTGCCCTCAGGAATATTGGTAAAAATGTAATATTATTCATAGTTTGAGGCTCACTTCATTGCAGACCTGGAGAGTGTACAAATAACTTTCATGGCACACATAAGTACGATAAGGCACCTAAATTATTGGGAATGGTTGAAGGTCCTTGATCTGTATTCCCTCGAACGCAGGCGAGAGAGATACATGATAATGTACACTTGGAAGGTCCTGGAGGGATTGGTACCAAACCTGCACATGAAAATCACTCCCTATGAAAGCATAAGACTCAGCAGGAGATGCAACATACCCCCCCCCTTCCCCCCGATGAAAAGCAGGGGCGCCACGAGTACATTGAGAGACAACACAATAAGTGTCTGGGGCCCAAGACTGTTCAATTGCCTCCCAGCATACATAAGGGGGATTGCCAATAGACCCCTGGCTGTCTTCAAGAAGGCACTGGACAGGCACCTAAAGTCAGTACCTGACCAACCGGGCTGAGGTTCGTACATCAGCTTTCGTGCAGCCAGCAGTAACAGCCTGGCTGATCAGACCCTGATCCACCATGAGGCTTGGTCTCAAACCAGGCTGCGGGGGCACTGACCCCCCGAAACGCTCTCCAGGTAAACACCAGGTAAGCTACTTCCAGTCCTGGAACAAATTAAAATTATCTCTAATTCAGTAGAATGTCTTCCATTCTGCCAACTGATACCAAGAAACAGCCAACAAAACCATAAAAACCATTCAAGAAAACCCCTCAAATTTGCTATTTTAAACCCAGCACAAGGTCAGAGTTTTACTTTTCTTATCATGTACTGCATGGAGCAGGATTTTTATACAGTACACTCACACCAAAAGGCTCAGTGTCTCATATCTAGGCCAAAATTTACCACTTACAGCTTATCTGAGTGAGCTGAGCTCATGGTGTAGCTCTACATAACACACAGTCAAAGGGCTAAAACCAATATATTTTTACCCATGGTGGTAAATCCAAAATTTACCTCAACTTATTATTACTTATTACTGAGAAAGAAACACTAACAGTGAATGGTAATTTTCCTTCACTAATTGACACTAATCACTAAACATATGAATTGGTATGCTTGCCAGGAAACTTGAAATAAAACTGTGGATTGTAACGTCACACCATACACCCATTTATCACTTTGTACGTCACTTACAAGAATGTTTGTACCACCCATAAGGGTCAAACAGTGCCTGGAGAATCAAATGCGGCCAGGTTTGATTCAAGAAAATGGAAAGATAGCTCCAATTCCCTGGATCAAAAGCAAGTAAACACCAAAACATCCTCACCCCTGAAGATGTAATAAAGAGAGGTTGTTTAAAAAAAGTTTAACTTAAGATGGATAACTTACCTGATTCATCATCAAACAACGAGAAGTCAAACTGAGTTTTGTCCTTCAAGGCTCGGTCGACTAAGTCCCTGTTGATCTTCTCTTCCTTCTTGAATTTTGTCTTCAACTCGGCTCGAGATCGCCAGGTAAATAAAGATTCCATTAAGGAGAAGTCAGTACCAACAGTGGACAAAGCTTTGTAGAATCTTGCCGTCTCTTTTAAGGTCCACTCACTGGAGCGACTGCGTCTCTTGCTCCACTTGCTGTAGTGAACTGACTCATTATTCTCCTCCACCACCTCAGCTTTGCTCAGAATCTCATAACGATTTTTAGCGGCGGTCGTCTGAATCTTTATACTATGCTCGTCAAGGATGATCTGACCGTTTGGTCCTATTTTTACCCTAGGAGCAAAAATATCTTCAATGTTTTCTTCTTCTTCATTCTCCTTCTCCTTTTCCTTTCCTTTCTTCTTCTTATTCTTCTCTTCTTCTTCTTCTTCATCTTCATCTTCCTTCTTGGGCTCTTCTTCCACCTTGGCAGTTACTGGATCATCATTAGATTCTTTACACGCCTGAACCTCCTCAGTAGTACTTGGAGAGGGTTGTCCTGTGTCACCCTCGTCTAGCCCCAGGTCATCAATCCTCTGTTCCTCCACCACGTCTGATGCAATGCTCTCTGTTTCACACGTGCTTATCCGACGAGGCTTCTTCTTGGAGGATTCGGACCGACCTGGCATAGGATTTGTAGCTGGGTTCCAAAAGATGAGATCGAACATGGTCATGCTGCTGCGCTCAATGTCTCCTTTCGAAACTTTCTTCCGATATTTTTCTTTTCTCTCCCTGAATATCTTTTTCTCCTCGGAATCATCGGGTGATAAACCATGATCGCTTGCAATCTTGTTTTTCACTAATTTTTCAACCTTCACTGACGTCTTCTTATTGCTAACATTGACAGACGATTTAGCTTTTGTTTTCAGCAAAGTCTGTGACTTATTTCTCTTATTTAATATAGATTCTTTCTTAATAGTCTGAGAACTACTGAAGAAAACTGAAGAATTCTCCTTGTCTCCATTACTATCATCATTACTATTATTATCCTCAACTATTTCTATTCTATTTGGTGAGTTTTCTCTTTTCATGGATAAAATTTCACTGGTGGTTTTCTGGGATCTACCTTCTAATATACTGCAATCTTTATCTTCTATTTCAAATTTTGTATTTGGTTGTAACTTATTGGAGTCTCTTAGATCAAGTTTAGAAGGTTCCTCAATATATGGAATTGGTTTTAAACCAGCAACAGATTCATCCTCACAGTCTTTTCTAAAACTATCATGGTCATGGTCAATGATCTTGACATTTTCATTAAGGCTACTTTCTTGAGAAGTCACTTTTTCCACCATGACCTCTATGTGCCAATTATCTTCCTGTATTTTGTCCTCCTCAATTGTATCTAATTTCTTTACCATTTTCCTTTTGGCTGCAAACATGGGTGTAGCACGAATTTTGGACCTTCTTTTACAGCTGATATTTGTCGCTGAACCATTACTCTCCGAAATACTAACTACAGAACTCTGTGAGTTTTCATTCAACCCTGACACATCATCTTCTAGAGTAGTAACAGTTGCTTCATCATCATCTAAAACAATCAATTTCTCACTCTGTTTTTTGATATTTTGGTCTAAACATACACTAGGAACTCTACTCTTGGGCAAAAATACAGGCACTGTACGAATTTTGTGCCTTCTAGTACAAGTTGTACCTGTTACTACTGAGCTCAGCTGTTTATCAGCAACCACAGAGCTTTGTGTGTTGTCATTATCTTCCAAGACACACGTTTCACCCTCATCTAGTACAATCAAGTTCTCATTCTCTGTTGGAATATCTCTCTCTACATTTGCGAGTGTTGGAATATCTCTCTCTATATTCATGACTGTTGGAGTATTTCTCTCTACATTTATGACTGTCGGAATATTTCTCTCTACATTTACGACTGCTGGAATGCTTCTGTCTGTATCTGTGCTTGTTGGAATATCTACATTTACATCTGTTGGAATACTGCTATTCACATTTATGCCAACTGTAATACTGCTATCTACAATTACATCTGCTGGAATATTTCTATCAGTATTTATGCCTGTTGCTATATTTCTATTTACATTTAAGCTGGGAATTTTATTTTTGGTTAGAAAGGTTGGAGTAGCTCGAATTTTGGACCTCCTTTTAGTGGCTGTACTTGACGCTGACCCACTCGTATCAACTTTACTAACCCCAGAGCTCTGAGTGTCTTCATTACCTCCAGATACTTTATCTCCCATAACATCAACACTTGCTTCACCATCGTCTATGACAATCAGAGTCTCGCTCTCTTTCCTAACATTACTATTGGTGCTTACACTTGTAGTTTTATTTTTAGGCAAAAAGGTCGGTGTGGCACGAATTTTTGATCGTCTTTTACACGTGGAAGCTGTGGCTACAGAGATAATTTCTACGTTACTAATTGCTGAGCACTGATTACTTTCATTAACTCTAGATAATTTATTTTCTAAAACATCAGATGTTGTTTCACCATCTATTTCAATCAGTTTTTCACTATCTGTCAGAACATCAGTATTTTGACTTTCTTCCACTGGAGGAGTGTTGCATGTATGTACTGGGAAACTTGTATTGCTGTCTTTTAAAGCAACATGTGTCATTGCTAAGGAAACTGCTGCAGGCTTAGTTTCATGTTTATATACTTGTTCACTTGTTATTGTGTGTTTGTCTGTTGGAGAGACTATGTTCACTTCTACATGAGAGTCTGGTTGATCCTGCATGACTGGCTCCTTATTGTCACTCAACTTGTCACTCAAATAGTCAACTTCAGCATCAAACTTAACTTTACTTGTGTCAGTATTAACAGGCCTAATGTTTCGCTTTTCTGTTAAATTTCCTTTCCGAGAGCTGCTAACCATAGGCATTACCTTTATTTTCTTCCTTCGAATACTTGTCATAGGCTTACTCTCCGAAATCTGTTGCAATGGCCCCAAGAACCCACTTTCTAAATATGGATCAGAAACAGAGATGTCACTTGCCCTCACAGAGGACATCATTATTGGAATTACATCACTGGACTGACACTCTGCCTCAGGGGACACAGCAGATAAGGAGTCACAAGCACCAAACATCCCAGACAAACTTGATTTTGGCATGGATAATTTTGACAAAGGTGGCATATTTGATATTTGCCTCATTGAAGATGCTTTATTTTGAGACAATACGTTACTTGCCGTGGATGGCTGATCTGAGGAGTTGACGTCTTTACTCGAGTATGTGTCGTCTGATAAATTTGCTCTTACGGATGGAGCTGCATCACACTGTGAGGTATAAGTCTGCAGGTCTCTGTGTCTCTGTGAAGACCCTGATAAAGACACTGAGCCTGAACATTCAAGAGTATTCCCCGTGTGTTGATGTGACTCCATGTTCTCCGAGGTATGGCTTTCTTCAACAATTTTCACAGCATCATGAGAAATTATATTTTCTGAATGTAGTTTATCAGACACAGCAGCATAAGACACAGAGACCTTGTCTTCAATTATAGAGCTTGTTGTATCCTCCTGTAAGGAAAACGAATATTTTAAGATATTTTTTTTTTTTTTTTTTTTTTTCAACAAGCTGGTCGTCTCCCACCGAGGCAGGGTGACCCAAAAAAGAAAGAAAATCCCCAAAAAGAAAATACTTTCATCATCATTCAACACTTTCACCACACTCACACATTATCACTGCTTTTGCAGAGGTGCTCAGAATACAACAGTTTAGAAGCATATACGTATAAAGATACACAACATACCCCTCCAAACTGCCAATATCCCAAACCCCTCCTTTAAAGTGCAGGCATTGTACTTCCCATTTCCAGGACTCAAGTCCGACTATATGAAAAATAACCGGTTTCCCTGAATCCCTTCACTAAATATTACCCTGCTCACACTCCAACAGATCGTCAGGTCCCAAGTATCATTTGTCTCCATTCACTCCTATCTAACACGCTCATGCACGCTTGCTGGAAGATATATTAAACATAAAGAGGCATCACAAATCATTTTTCTTAACCCAGTGGTCGTCCCCCACCAAGGCTGGGCAGCAGCCACATTACAAAAACTTCTTAATTATAACTAATAAGAGCAGTATGAAGAATAAGCAAATGAAAATTTAATTCTGCAATGGCTAGTATGATCCTTCATGCAAGTTAAATGTGAATTATTATTTTTAGTAATGATGATTCTCCATGGGGAAGTGGAACAGAATTCTTCCTCCGTAAGCCATGCGTGTCATAAGAGGCAACTAAAATGCCGGAAGCAAGGGGCTAGTAACCCCTTCTCCTGTACATATTACTAAATGTAAAAGGAGAAACTTTCGTTTTTCCTTTTGGGCCACCCCGCCTTGGTGGGCCGCCCCGCCTTGGTGGGATACGGCCGGTGTGTTGAAAGAAAGAAAGAAGTAATGATGATGAAACACTATACCCATAATTTCTGAGAGAAGGCCCAAGTTTAACACTATCATTGTTATTAACAGTAATAGCTATTATTATTATTATTATTACCATTAATATTATTATTACTCTTATTACATATTATTAACAGCTATTATTATTGTAATATTATAAGCTGGTAAGGGTGTATGTGACGTAGAGTGCTGGTACATATCAAAAGGATAACTAAGATCTGTTATGAGGGGTTACTATCAATATTAGTCATGGCAAGAGCAAAACCCGTAAGGTTGTCTCAGCGCTGCACGGTATACCTGAAACACATAATAGTGAGGTAGTGTTAGTGAAGACTGTAACATGATAGTGAACTATAGATAATGAATACTGAACACTGGGTGTTAGGCACCTTACACCTGCTGTCACTGTTCACCTAGAAGTAAGTAGGTACCTAGGTGTTAGTCACTTTACAACTTCTGTCAGTGTTCACCTAGCAGTAAGTAGGTACCTGGAGTATACCTGGAGAGGGTTCCGGGGGTCAATGCCCACGTGGCCTGGTCCATGACCAGGCCACTTTACACCTGCTGTCAGTGTTCACCTAGCAGTAAGTAGGTACCAGGGTGTTAGTCACCTTACACCTGCTGTCACTTTTCACCTAGCAGTAAGTAGGCTCCTGGGTGTTAGTTGACTGGTGTGGGTGGTAGACTACCATAGATAGGGCTGGATTTTTCAGTAAGCTGAGGTAGGCTATGGATGGCTAAAGTCCCCGGATTCCTTTTTTTTTAATTAATGGCTAATATTTACTATATTAAATTGCTCAGCGACCACAAAAGCATGATAATTTAAGAAAGTTCACAAGCATAGTGAAAATCATACATTTTTAAAGGCAATTTCTTTGATTATTTCATTAGCTTATTATTTTTTAAGTCTTCCCTGACCCAAGACTGAAATCATGGCTGCGTACTGCATGGTTTAGTTGCAGACCAGCCATCCTATATTACTAAGGATATATTACCAAACTCTTTAAAAAATTCAAATATTGAAGATTTATTAGCAAGATCAGATTCTGAGAGTAATTTATATACAGTGGACCCCCGGTTAACGATTTTAATCCGTGCAAGAGGGGTAATCGTTATGCGAAATAATCGTTATGTGAATGAATTTTCCCCATAAGAAATAATGGAAATAAAATTAATCCGTGCAAGACACCCAAAAGTATGAAAAAAAAATTTTTTTACCACATGAAATGTTAATTTTAATACACACAAACTGAAAAAGGCATGCACACTTACATGACACTTACTTTTATTGAAGATCTGGTGATGATTGATGGGATGGGAGGAGGGGAGAGCATTATCTTCTTACTGTTTAGAAGGGGAATCCCCTTCCATTAGGACTTGAGGTAGCAAGTCCTTTTCCGGGGTTACTTCCCTTCTTCTTTTAATGCCACTAGGACCAGCTTGAGAGTCACTGGACCTCTGTCGCACAACAAATCTGTCCATAGAGCTCTGTACCTCCCGTTCCTTTACGATTTGTCTAAAATGGGCCACAACATTGTCATTGAAATAGTCACCAGCACGGCTTGCAACAGCTGTGTCAGGGTGATTTTCATCCATAAAGGTTTGCAGTTCAACCCACTGTGCACACATTTCCTTAATTTTTGAAGTAGGCACAATGGATTCCACAACTGGCATAGGCTTCTCAGGGTTAGCCCCAAACCCTTCAAAATCTTTCTTAATTTCCATACTAATTCTCACCCTTTTTACCACAGGGTTGGCACTAGAAGCTTTCTTGGGGCCCATGGTCACTTATTTTCCAGAAACAGCACCGAAAACACTGTAATAATACGAAATATTCCGATTGTATGCTTGGATGTTATTGCGGAGGCTGGCTGGTAAACAATGCCACCGGCGGAACATGTGAGCGTGGCTCAGGCCGCACATTGGAAGCGTCTCGGACGAAAATCGGTAAGCGGGTTTTTAAGCGGTATGCGAGGCAAAATTTTTGCAATTAAAGTAAGCGGTATGCGAAATAATCGCTATGTGATGCCATCGTTATGCGGGGGTCCACTGTATAGTGATCTCTTTTTATAAAGCTCCTATATACACCTACCATCCGACTTACGACCTGCTCGACTTACGACCACTCGACTTACGACCGTGTTTTTTATGCCAAATTTCTGGGAAATAAACAACTATTTGTGTTGTACACAGTGTTTATCCTAAACCTTACAGTATAAAATACAGTACTAACAACATAAAAAGTAAAGTAAAACATGAAATACCAAAATAAAACAATAAAATAAAGTCATTACAAAAATGTTTTGTTGATATTCAGTAGTAAAGTTCGACTTATGGCCATTTCGACTTACGACCGGTTTCTCGGAACCGAACTCAGTCGTAAGTCGGATGGTAGGTGTATATATACAGCTGGGCCTGGCCTATAAAGTGAAAACTGCTGTAAAGTGAAACATAGCCTTTCTTCACTTTTAAATGCATATAAATGCCTGATAACATGTTTACACTATCATATATTAAGTAAGCAATACAGCTAGGCCTAAAAATGCATATACAGTGAGTGGTGAATATATTTATGGTAGGAAGTCTGAATAAATGAAGAATGGGTATAATTGTCAAGAGCTGTGTTAGTGAAATGTTGTAACGTAGAGCGCTGTAAAGCGAGACCCTCCTTCAGTGTGTGATTTTTTTGTTAAGTATGAATAAAAAATCACATCCAGAAACTGAACAGCACATGGAAAGCCTTCACAGTATAATCTATTGAATTCTGGATATAGTTTCTCAGTCGAGTTGACAAAAAAAAAAGTCACTCCATAAAAGACCATTATACAGTGGACCCCTGGCATTCGATGGCATTGACATTCGATAAATCTGACATTCGATGCATTTTAACGCAAAAATTTCGCCTCGACATTCGATGGAAAACCTGACATTTGATACGATTTGTACGAGACGTGTCCACGTGTGGCCTGAACTGCCCCGTGTGTGCCAGTGTTTACAAGCCAGCCAGTGTGTGCGCATTTAAGGATACATTCGGTACAATCCATATTATCACTGTTTTTGGTGCTTGTTTCTGCAAAATAAGTAACCATGGGCCCCAAGAAAGCTTCTAGTGCCAAGCCTTCGAGAAAAAAGGCACTAATGACTATTGAAATGAAGAAAGAGATAATTGCAAAGTACGAAAGTGGAGTGCGTGTGTTGGAGCTGGCCAGGTTGTATAGTAAACCCCAATCAACCATCTCTACTATAGTGAGCAGGAAAACGGCAATCAAGGAAGCTGTTGTTGCAAAAGGTGCAACTTTGTTTTCGAAACAGAGATTGCTAGTGTTAGAATATGTTGAGAGACTGTTATTGGTGTGGATAAATGAAAAACAGATAGCAGGAGATAGCATCTCTCAAGCGATCATTTGTCAAAATGCTAGGCAGTTGCATGATGATTTGGTAAAGAAATTGCCTGCAACTAGTGGTGATGTGAGTGAATTTAAGGCCAGCAAAGGTTGGTTTGAAAGATTTAAGAATCGTAGTGGCATACACAGTGTGGTAAGGCATGGTGAGGCTGCCAGTTCGAACCACAAAGTGGCTGAAAAATATGTGCATGAATTCAAGGAGTACATAGAGGCTGAAAGATTGAAACCTGAACAAGTGTTTAATTGTGACGAAACAGGCCTGTTTTAGAAGAAATTGCCAAGCAGGACCTACATTACTCAGGAGGAAAGGGCACTCCCAGGACATAAGCCTATGAAAGACAGGCTTACTCTTCTGATGTGTGCCAATGCTAGTGATGATTGCAAAGTGAAGCCTTTATTGGTGTATCACTCAGAAACTCCCAGAGTGTTCAGGCAAAAGAATATCCTCAAGGCTAATTTGTGTGTGCTGTGGAGGGCAAACAGTAAGGCATGGGTCACTAGGGACTTTTTCTATGACTGGTTACACCATACATTTGCCCCCACTGTGAAAAATTACCTAATTGAAAAGAAATTAGACCTTAAGTGCCTCCTGGTATTAGACAATGCCTCTGGTCATCCTACAGACTTGGCAAAGCAACTTTCTGGGGACATGAGCTTCATTAAGGTCAAGTTTTTGCCTCCTAATACCACTCCTCTCCTGCAGCCCATGGACCAGCAGGTCATTTCCAACTTCAAGAAACTGTACACAAAAGTTATGTTTCAAAAGTGCTTTGTAGTGGCCACAGACACTCGATTGGCTCTAAAAGAGTTTTGGAAGGATCACTTTAATATCCTCAGTTGTATAAACCTTATAGATAAGGCTTGGGAGGGAGTGACTAAGAGGACCTTGAACTCTGCTTGGAAAAAACTGTGGCCAGAATGTGTAGACGAAAGGGATTTTGAAGGGTTTGAGGCTAACCCTAAGAATCCTATGCCAGATGAGGAATCCATTGTTGCATTGGGGAAGTCCTTGGGGTTGGAGGTTAGTGGGGAGGATGTGGAAGAGTTGGTGGAGGAGGACAATGACGAACTAACCACTGATGAGCTGCTAGATCATCTTCAACAGCAAGAGGCCACACCTGAGGAAACTGCTTCAGAGGAGGGGATAGAGAAACTGAAGAAGTTGCCTACTTCAAAGATTAAGGAAATGTGTGCAAAGTGGCTTAAAGTGCAAACCTTTTTTGATGACAATCACCCTAACACAGCTATTGCAAGCCGTGCTGGTGACTATTACACTGACAATATTGTGAACCATTTTAGGAAAGTCATAAAGGAACGAGAGGTACAGGCCTTTATGGACAGATATGTTGTGCGACAGAAGTCCAGTGACTCTCAAGCTGGTCCTAGTGGCATTAAAAGAAGAAGGGAAGTAACCCCGGAAAAGGACTTGCTACCTCAAGTCCTAATGGAAGGGGATTCCCCTTCTTAACACTAACACCATCAACACTCTCTCCTCCTCCCATCCCATCAATCATCACCAGATCTTCATTAAAGGTAAGTGTCAATTATTCTATTGTTATTAATCTATTGTTATTGTTGTTATTGTAATTATTCTATTGCATTAAACTTAATATTTCATGTGGTAAAATTTTTTTTTTCATACTTTTGGGTGTCTTGCACGGATTAATTTGATTTCCATTATTTCTTATGGGGAAAATTAATTCGACTTTCGATATTTTCGACATTCGATAGCTCTCAGGAACGGATTAGTATTGAATGTCGAGGGTCCACTGTAGAACTTACTATTGTACTTTTTCAACAGAATTTTCATATCGTCATGTAAGATACTTTCTTACTGGATGGCTTTAATAAATTAAGGAACTACAGTGGACCCTCGACAAACGATGGCATCATCTAACGTTAAATCCGACTAGCGATACATTTTAACGCTATCATTTTGCCTCGACTAACGCTAAAAATACTCGACTAACGATATTCGTTCTCGGGTACCAATTAATATCGTTAATCAAGGGTCCACTGTATAATTAAAAAGCTTTTAAGCTAGTGCCTTGCTTCTGGCATCTCAGTCACCTCTTACAACACACATGGCTTACGGAGGGAGGATTTTTTACCACTTTCCCAAGAAGAAAATAATAAATTTATAACAAATAATAAATTTATCAAAATTACATCATTATACCTGGGTTTGCTTGTTTAGAAGAGCCACGGAGGAAGGCATGGAGGAGAAGGGTGCGGAGGAAGATGAGGCAGCAGTGGTAGGTGCAGCAGTGCATGAAGTTACAGTAGTAAATGAGGTTGCAGCAGTAGATACAGCAGAAGAGGAAGTTGCAGATAAATTTGCATCAGACGATGTCATAATATTAGATGCAACAGCAGGGGAAGGCCCAGCAGTAGACACAGTAGTGGAAGTAGCAGTAGCAGCAGTAGTAGCAGCAGCAGCAGCAGCAGCAGCAGCAGGTAGAGCAGCAGAGGCAGGAACACTGCGAGCCGAGGTGGTCCTCGGACCTCCTCCTCCGACCCCAAAATTTGGGGTTGCACGAATTTTCATTCGCCTCATTTTGATCTGAAAAGAAACATAAAATATATAATACGTATTGACTTAGTTAAATGGAGAATAAATATACCACTGTTCCCCTAGTAGTAACTAGGTACCTGCGAGATAAGACACATGTGCGATACTTAGGTATCTTTATTTTGAAACATTTCAACCATATAGTAGGCTTCTTCAGTCAGAGACAGTAGAAGCAGCAGAGATGTAAAATGAAGTGATTAGTCCCTCACCAATGAAGATGTAGCTTTGGGGTGGTCAGTTCCTCAGCCTGGATTTGAGAGAAACCTATTCAGCATGGGCCAGTAGGTCTATTACACTGCCTATCAATTATTAAAATCTTGCTTCTACTAGTAGGCCTAGCCTCTTCTGTCATCTCTGAGATTTTCTGTGCCTGGAGAAGAGTTCAGCTCCAGAGTCTGGAGCAATGTGAAGCTGAATCAACATAATAGTGACTTATATAATGGCACAGGTGGTGTCAAAAATCTTGAAGATGGCAGAAGAGGCTAGGCCTACTGGTAGAAGAATGTAATAATTGATAGGCAGTGTAGTTGGCCTACTGGCCCAGGCTAAATAGGTCTCATGATAGAAGAGGCTAGGCCTACTGGTAAAAGCAAGGACCTACTTAGCATGGGCCCACCAGCCCATGCTAAGTAGGTTCCTCTCAATTCCAGGCTAAGGGACTGACCACCTCAATACTATGTCTTCGAGGGTGAGGGACCAATCACATCATATTTACATCTCCGCTGCTTCCGTTGTCTCTGACTGATGAAGTTTATTGTGTGGGAGAAACGTCTCAAAATACAGATAAATAACTGTTGCACGTTTAGTTCTGATTTATTTGTGGCTATTGTATTTAAGTACCTGTATACTCAACTATATGTGGTTACAAGTGTCGAGTCACAACTCCTGGCCCCGAGACAGCTCCTGGCCCGAGGCACAGCTCCTGGCCCCGAGACACAGCTCCTGGCCTGGAGATACAGATCCTGGACCCAAAATACACCTCCTGCCTCGAGATACAGCTCTTGGCCGGGTGTTAGTTGACTGTTGTGGGTGGCATCCTGGGGGACAGAAACTGAGCTCAACAATAGAAATAAACCAGTGTGATAACACTGGGTTATCCTGGGTTAATAACCTACCGGGTTAATAACCCAGATTATTAGAATTATTAACCCACAGAGTTAATAATACCAACAAAATCTAATACTAAATGCAAATACGGCGTTCATTTATGACTTTATTACAACAAAATAATAAAACTAAGTCACATGTTTTCACTTTATTACGTCAATAAGGATCAATTCTATACACTTCACTATATAAAATTAATGTTTAAATGCTTAAAAGTGTGTTTGATGAGTAAATAAGTGAGTACCAGCGTCTTCTGCCCACGATGTTGTTGTTGTTGTTGTTGGAGTAAAGGGCCACGTCGGGCCTGAAGCCGTATGAACCCTCCTGTCCTGTCCTTACCAGATCCATCAGTCCTATATTTATTTATTTATTTATTTATTTATTTAGTAATTTGAGCATACATATGAACCCTAAGATAAGATAAGATTAAGATAAGATGTCGTTCGAATTTTTAACCCCGGAGGGTTAGCCACCCAGGATAACCCAAGAAAGTCAGTGCGTCATCGAGGACTGTCTAACTTATTTCCATTGTGGTCCTTAATCTTGTCCCCCAGGATGCCACCCACACCAGTCGACTAACACCCAGGTACCTATTTTGCTGCTAGGTGAACAGGACAACAAGTGTAAGGAAACGTGTCGAAATGTTTCCACCCGCCGGGAATCGAACCCGGGCCCTCCGTGTGTGAAGCGGGAGCTTTAGCCACCAGGCCACCGGGCCAGCTGTGGTTCCGTTGGCTCTAGGACTGAACGAACCCTCCAGCTGGAGTTTTGTTAGGGTTAGGTATAAGACTGTTACAAAGTTTTCAGTAAGAGTTTTTTTTGGGGGGTTCTAAAGCTATATAAAATCTTCAGAAGCGGTTTTGTCGGTCCTAGTACCGTATTAACTTATCAGTCCTAGTCTTACCGTCACCTCTATAGTAATAATATCTTTATTTACTACATGTTCAAGGTATACAGACCATAGCTGACATCAATAACATACTACTATATAGAAAGCTGCTTGTTATGCTGAGCATTTCCCGTAAATTAGGTCAGTTTTGTCCCAGGATGCGACCCACACCAGTCCACTAACACCCAGGATGTGACCCACACCAGTCCACTAACACCCAGGTACCCATTTTACTGATGGTGAACATGGACAACCGGTATAAGGAAACACGCTCAGTGTTTCCGCCCTTTGCCGGGAATCGAACCTGGACACTCACCATGTGAAGCGAGAACTTTTGCCTCCAGGCAACGGGCCACTGTGATAATAAGTGAACTCCCAAGCTGGGTTTCCGATGGCTCTACGACAATACGAACCCTCCAGCACGGGCTTCGTTAGGTATAATGCTGTTACGAAGCTTCTAGCAAGAGTTTTATTGGTTTTAAGTCTATACAATTTTTCCAGCAGCGGCTATGTTGGTCCTACTACAATATGAATCCTCCAGTCCTAGTATTACCGGTTCCGTCATTCCCCAGTGAACCCACCAACTGGGTTCCGTTTGCACCAAGGCTGCGCGAACCCTCCAGGAGGGATTTTGTTAGGTATAAGGCGGTTAGGAAGCTTGCACTAAGGTTTTCTTTGGCTTTAAGGCTATTCAAACTTTAACAATCAGGGGCTTTGCTCGTCCTAGTACTATATGAACCTTAAGTCTTGGTCTTACCGGCTCCGTTTGTCCTAAATGAACCCTCCAGCAAAAATTTTGTTAGGTATAAAGCCGTTACAAAGCCTCCAGCAGATATTCTCTTAGATACAAGGCTCTTACAAACCCTCCACCAAGATTTTTTTTGTTTCTAAAGCTATACACACTCTCCAGCAGGATTCCATCGGCTCTGTGACGGTACTAATACTCATCATTGGTCATGATGTTGTATGAACCCTGCAGCAGTAGTTATGTCTGTAATGTTGAGGTTAAGATAAGAGATAAGATAAGATTTCGTTCGGATTTTTAACCCCGGAGGGTTAGCCACCCAGGATAACCCAAGAAAGTCAGTGCGTCATCGAGGACTGTCTAACTTATTTCCATTGGGGTCCTTAATCTTGTCCCCCAGGATGCGACCAACACCAGTCGACTAACACCCAGGTACCTATTTGCTGCTAGGTGAACAGGACAACAGGTGTAAGGAAACGTGTCGAAATGTTTCCACCCGCCGGGAATCGAACCCGGGCCCTCCGTGTGTGAAGCGGGAGCTTTAGCCACCAGGCCACCGGGCCACTCAGTCCTTGGACTCATCCTGTGCCTCTGTAATGTTGAGGTACAGTCCCTGGACCCATTATGAGTGTTTGTAATGTTGAGATACAGTCCCTGGACCCTTTATGTGTCTCTGTAATGTTGAGGTACAGTTCCTAAATCCATTAATTGCTCATTCACTCTCTTCACTCTGCCCCAGGTCCAGACTCGTGGAACTCCGTGTTCATCAAGGACTGCAAGAAACTTCTTTCACGTGCTTTAAGTATTCTATGGAGAGGGAGCATGGACAGAGGGGTCATCCCACGACCTAGATACGGAGGTCATCCCACAGTCTAGCCCCAGGGTCGTCCCACAGTCTAGACACGGAGGTCATCCCACAGTCTAGCCCCAGGGTCGTCCCACAGTCTAGACCCCACCCAGGGTCGTCCCACAGTCTAGACACGGGGGTCATCCCACAGTCACTAAAAACAACAGACATAGCCCCACTCCACAAAAGTGGCAGTAAAGCAATTGCAAAGGTTAGGTAAGGTTCGTCAGGAAACAGGACAAATGTTTCCTGACGCGGGTCTTAGTCAGATGATGACCCGCCTTTGGAGCTTTTGGTCATCTGACCGAGGCCTTCCGCTGGCTTACCGGTCCACCCCTTTAAAAATTATGGTCATTTATAACCAGTCTAGCAATTGCAAAGAATTGCAGATCGATAGCACTATCGTCCCACATCATAAAAATCTTTGAAAGGGTTCTAAGAAGCAAGATCGCCACCCACTTAGATACCCAAGCCTTCCTATTCAGGAAGACCAACGAAGGGATCCTTCTTTTGCCTCCGCTTGTGAGGAGCATAAACAAACCATACCACGGACGGGTATGGTTTGTTTGCAATCGTGTCATTACGATTTCGTGAGTCATGAGGAACATTTCCCGCAAATTAGGTCAATTTTGTCCCAGGATGCGACCCACACCAGGTAAACTCCAGGTAAACACCAGTCCAATAACACTCAGGTACCTATTTTACTGATGAGTAAACATGAATAGCAGGTGTAAGGTGACTAACATCCAGGTACCTATTTTACTGCTTGGTCAACAGGGACAGCAATATTCTTAAGGAAACACGTCCTAATGTTTTCAGCCGTACCGGGGATCGACCCCCGGACCACACTGTGTGAGCTAAGTGCGCTACCAATCACGCTACAAGACATCACAGGTCCCTGGACTCATTGTGTACCTCTGTAAAGTTGAGATACAGTCCCTGGACCCATTATGTACCTGTGTAATGTTGAGGTACAGTCCCTGAATCCATTATGTACTGTGTAATGTTGAAGTACAGTCCCTGGACCCATTATGTAGCTGTGTAATGTTGAGGTACAGTCCCTGGACTCATTATGTACCTGTGTAACGTTGAGGTACAGTCCCTGGACCCATTATATACCTGTGTAATGTTGAGGTACAGTCCCTGGACCCATTATGTACCTGTGTAATGTTGAGGTACAGTCCCTGGACCCATTATGTACCTGTGTAATGTTGAGGTACAGTCCCTGGACCCATTATATACCTGTGTAATGTTAGAGGTTACAGTCCCTGGACCCATTATATACCTGGTCAATGTTGAGGTACGTCCTTGACTCATTATGTACCTGGTAATGTTGAGGTACAGGTAACCCTGGACCCATTATATACCTGTGTAATGTTGAGGTACAGTCCCTGGACCCATTATGTACCTGTGTAATGTTGAGGTACAGTCCCTGGACCCATTATACACCTGTGTAATGTTGATAAATTAGACACATGTGCAACTCTTGGGTATCTTTATTGAGGAAACGTTTCGCCACACAGTGGCTTCATCAGTACATCGACTCAAGGTTGAGGGACTGATTACCTCATTCTCCTCCTGTTCTTCAAGTTTCTCCTACGTATGTACTGATGAAGCCACTGTGTGGCGAAACGTTTCCTCAATAAAGATACCCAAGAGTTGCACATGTCATACCCCCAGCCGGGATTGAACCCGCGGTCATAGAGTCTCAAAACTCCAGCCCGTCGCGTTTGCAATCGTGTCATTACGATTTCTTGAGTCAGTTGCACATGTGTCTAATTTATCAACATGTCCGTTCTCTGAACCATTCATCTACATACCTGTGTAATGTTGAGGTACAGTCCCTGGACCCATTATGTACCTATGTAATGTTGAGGTACAGTCCCTGGACCCATTATGTACCTATGTAATGTTGAGGTACAGTCCTGAACCCATTATGTACCTTGTAATGTTGAGGTACAGTCCCTGGACCCATTATGTACCTATGTAATGTTGAGGTACAGTCCCTGGACCCATTATATACCTGTGTAATGTTGATGTGGAAAATTGCATTTATCTGAATATAACTAATTATGTACATAACAGTAAATGATAACAAAGATAATTATTATTTATCAATGTTACATAGACAAGTAGGAATTTGGGACACCTAGGTCGCACAAAAATGTCCCCCTTCGATACCTACCACTGTCATAACCACAAGTTGCTCTGGACCTATTAATTAAATGAAATATACATACACCAGGAATGTTGGTAAATATATAAATTTGTGGACTGTATATTAAAAATAATAAATGGTTATATATATACACAATTACATAACAGAAGGAAAATATATCTTATCATCCCATTTGATGGATTATGTGTATCATACTCAGAAAACTACTCTAACTACAATCTATGAAAATAATGCGGCCAGAATTACACACAAATCTAGAGACTTATCTGAGGTCTTGGAGCGTCTTGTCCAGCCGTCTGATATCATTATCAAATGCACATCCACCAATTTCGCTACCTATTTGAATGTGTATCACTACAATTATAATCACTCTAAGCAACAAAAATATGCTGCCCATTACACACAAATTGTATCATTCAATAACCAAGATGGCGAGTCTCGTCTGCGCAGACGCAGGCTTTCCGTTTCTATGCAAAATGATTATACAATACGTATGCCTCCTATTTAGATTACAAATAACTCTAGAATCTGAAAATCTTATACCAGGTATTATTCCACCAGTTGGGTACAGTCCCTGAGACCCATTATGTCTTGTAAATATCTATAGTACAGTATCCACTGAC